TGTCTTGATTTTTCGAATAATGATAAAATTTAAGTGAGACCTACCCCTATTAATCCCAAGCAGAAGTCGAATAATGAAGTAGATTTTTTGGTTTACTGATATATACAAGGTGTTTCAGAGTTAAAAGTACATACGTTATCTGTAAGTGTAAGACACTTGGGTGATTCGAGATGACCTATTAATAATGGTTCTATCACGTCTCATTACCTAGAACGAATTTATTAATTTCGCCTGGATTTTTATTTGGCCAAAATTCAACAATCATCATTCGGTATAAAAATTTCCAATTTAGCATGTAGAATCATTTTGATATTGCAAAAATAATGAAATAGAAATAATAGTTCAAATTTAGGCCCAACGTAACAAAATTTGATCTATTTTTTTTTTTTTTCGTTTCGAAAACAACACAAATTTGTATCTGATTACATATTTGAAAATATTTCTATCTTACCTATTTGACAGTAAATAGCAATCATGCTTAACTATGGAAACAATGGCTCAGTTGCAGTTAAGGTAATCATGTAAAATTGCTATTTTTTTTTTTATTTTAATCAACATCTATTCTTTTTAAAACAGGATGAAATAAAATATACGATACACGTCCGTTAAGTGTTATTACAGTACTCGTTTATATACAACTCATACTGTAATAAGTCACCTACCGGACTTGTAACGTGAAATACTATTACAGTTTTTTCATTATTCGACGTCTGTTTTGGTTATGCATTATTAGTAGGCATTAGCAGGTAACCCATTAATAGAAGTAGGGTCGCAAGTGTCTCACTTATATTTTATCATCATTCGAAAAATCAAGAGAGGGTCTCAAATGTATCGAGGGTACAAATGTACGGGGAAGCGTCTGTCACGGATTCCTGTTACATGTCCGAATATTCCGAATCGACTAACGATAATTTGTTTGGACACTGACTAGAAACTAGTGTTTGTATGCTAAACGCATTCTGGAAATCGCGAGAGGTCTAGAACGAGTTCTGGCATTTACAGAAAGTCCAGAATGCGTTCTGGTCTACCCTATAGACAGCCTAAAA